CCTGCCTTCCTTCCTTCCTTCCCTCCTTCCTTCCTTCCTTCCTTCCTTCCTTCCTTCCTTCCTTCCTTCCTTCCTTCCATACATGCCTTCCATACATGCCTTCCTTCCTTCCTTCCTTCCTTCCTTCCTTCCTTCCTTCATTTCTTCCTTCATTTCTTCCTCCCTCCCTTTTCTTTTCTTTTCATCATAAATTGCAGTAAGCCGGAAACCTTACAACACTGGAAACTTCTCTAACATGGCAGTTTCAGCTGAGAGAATTGTGGGTGTGCATTTATCATCACAAGCAGCTGTGCTTAATTTACTGAGCTCCCATTTTGAAGGGGCACCTTCTTCGTGAAATAAAACCTTGTCCTCTTTCCAGGGAACTCGGTCTTCCTTCTAACAACCCTCACCTCGAATTATAATTGTTTACTGGATGAAACAAAACTCTGAAAACGCAGGTATATCCTACGTTTTCCAGAATGCAATTTCCTTCCAATATTTACTGTTAGATTGGAAACAAACAGTTTCTGTTGCAGTTTACAAGCAACAGAGAATGACCTTGGGAGCAGAATAATGGGATAGATGTTTGACAGATGCCTGAAGTATTGGAACTGAAATATTAACATTGAGCTGAAATATTTGTATATTGAGCAGCAGAGATAGAAAATTAAGTTATCTGGCCTTATGTAAGGGATTTGCTACGGTGGGACCTGTGGAATGTAAACTTTCGCTAGCCATTTATATCAGATGAATACTTTGCAAATAATGGATGTTCCTGGGGAAATAATGAATGTTTTCCAACCAATGATTTATGTTCAACATAAATGTCGACATAGCTGTAAATAAAGCAGCACGTATTTACTTAAGGAGCTCACGCATTATTGGTTGAATGTGTCTTCTTTTGATGCTTTTTGTTTTTGAAACTATCTCTTTAAGGTAGAATGAAAATGACTCCCCCCTTTGATAATAACCACGTTTTAATTCTCTCTCCTCTTCTAGAACGTCCCCTGCATTGCACTGAGAATATTCTAGAACAAATCCTTCACTGGAGCTCCTTGGCCAGTCCCAGCAACGCCTCCCTTATAATCAAGAAATTTCCAACCGTGGGGCTGATGGGTGAAGGTAAATACCAAAACACATTCCCTCTTACAGGCAGTCCTCAACTTACAACAATTCATTTAGTGACCGTTGGAAGTTACAGTGTGGGAGCATTCACCGCTTCTGGAGGCAGGTTGTTCCACTGGTTAATTGTTCTCACTGTCAGGAAGTTTCTCCTTAGTTCCAGGTTGCTTCTTTCCTTGATTAGTTTCCACCCGTTGCTTCTTGTCCTACTTTCAGGCGCTTTGGAGAATAGCTTGACTCCCTCTTCTTTGGGGCAGCCCCTGAGATATTGGAAGACTGCTATCATGTCCCCCCTCGTCCTTCTCTTCATTAAACTAGACATTAAACTTTGCTTGTCAGAGGGTCGCAAAGGGGGATCACATGACCCCGGGACACGGCGACCGTCATAAGTACATGTCAGGTGCCAAGCATTGGATTTTGATCACACGACCTTGGGGATGAAGAATGTCATTAGTCTCTTCAGTGCCATTGTAAATTTGAACTGTTGTTAGTCAAGGACTACTGGCTATTCTATTGATGATGATTGGCACTTTTAAGCTATAGGTATTTTCACTTGTGTTTTTTTTTCATCATCTCCTAAGAATCTTATAAACATGTTTTGTGCAGGTTTATCCTTTGGTAGATTACAGGACGGTTAACGATTCTGTTTTCTTTGCCTTAATTAGCAGCTCCCGAATCAATCCCAGTGGATTTTTCTGATTTTGGCATTACTGGTCTATCCGTTGCCACTGATACATCCTAAAGCTAGGATCTAAAAAAGACGAGAAGGAAAGTAAATCAAATGTGATTGCATTGTCAATTTCTTAACAAAGACGAGCCGACGTCTTTTCAGGAGCTTCCATTGACTGTCGAAAGAAGACGGCTTAGTTTCTGGTTTTTGTTTTAAGTAGGTGGCGGGTAAAGTTTCAACCGGCGGCAAATTGGCGATCCGATTCAGCTCCACGGAGGTCTTTATTCCACTGATTGCAATTATGCTCATTCTGCCTTTAAACCATACAAGCCAGGATAAGGAATTGTAATTTTGAAAACCTGGCTTGTTTTAAAGACCACTGTTGTTGATATTCGCAAGTTCGGTTTGGCGAGCAAAACACTTCTTTGGGAAACCGTAACGCTGGATTTATGCATTGCACTAAGCCAGCAACAAGGATGCCACGTCGCCGTTTTAGCATAATGCATGAATCCAAGCTAGTAATAATTATATATAGCTGACGTGGGAGCAGATGCTCGCATTTTCCTCCAGTGGAGCTAGCAAAGGTTCATTAAAGCAGCGCTAACATATGCTTTAGCATTCCGTTTGAATCTTGCTAGTGTTCTCATTTGGGTAGGGCGATAAACATGGCAAAGAATACGTGAATCTGGAATTCTGTCCAACCCTTTAATAAAAAGCCCTTATTGCAGGGGTGTCAAACTCAATTTCATTGAGGGCCGCATCAGCATTACGGTTGCCCTTGGGGTGTGTGTGGCCAGGGTGGGTGTGGCCTACTGGATGGGTGTGGACAGAGTGGGTGTGGCCTATTGGGTGGGCATGGCCAGCTCTACATCATTCACGTCAAGGGTGCCTGTGGGGGCCTGGGCAGGAGTGGGACAGATCTGAGGGTCTCTGGCAGAAGGGGGTGGGACCAGGGCAAGCGCCAAGGCATGGTCCACTGGAAGAGCCTCGCTGCCTGCTGAAACCCGTCCGCCGGAGCCCATCAAGCCGGATATGTGAAGTAGGCGAGGGCCATTTGCTGGCCACTTCCAGGTGATGGTGCATTTCTTCATTCCTCACAAAGGGTGACACCTCCCCAGCATGCATCCAGGGGACGGGGCCGACGCAGCAGGGGCTGGTTCCTCGCTGTTTCTGGATGGCCTTGTGGAGCTAAGACTGAATGCGTTTATTTATTTATTTATTTATTTACTTACTTACTTACTTACTTACTTACTTACTTACTTACTTACTTATTTATTTATTGAATTTGTACCCCGCCCTTCTCCTTACGGACTCAGGGCGGCTGACAGCCTGATAAAAGACAAATACAAAAATACCCCAATTTAAAACATAATTAAAATGAAATATTGGATTTGGCCTGTGTCAATTTAAAATTGCTTTTAAAACCCCGCTAAAAATCTCCCCCTAGGCCAGTCCTGCTTGTTGAAANATTTATTTATTGAATTTGTACCCCGCCCTTCTCCTTACGGACTCAGGGCGGCTGACAGCCTGATAAAAGACAAATACAAAAATACCCCAATTTAAAACATAATTAAAATGAAATATTGGATTTGGCCTGTGTCAATTTAAAATTGCTTTTAAAACCCCGCTAAAAATCTCCCCCTAGGCCAGTCCTGCTTGTTGAAATACCCATGTCTTAAGGGCGCGGCAGAAGGAAGGGAGATCCGGGATCACCCGGATCTCTGGGGGCAGTTCATTCCAGAGGGTGGGAGCTCCCACCGAGAAGGCCCTCCCCCTGGGGGTCGCCAGCCAGCACTGTCTGGCTGACGGCACCCCGAGGAGACCCACTCTGTGGGAGCGTACCGGCCGATGGGAGGCACTCAGCATAGATGGCCACCACAAAATTGTACATTGGCTTCCGGCTGGCCTGAGTCAGGGCCAAGGCAGTGGGGGCCGTTCCCTCACTGTTTCCAGGATGGCTTCACGGGCCACATGAAACCACTTCGCAGGCCGCATCTGGCCCCCGGGCCTTGTGTTTGACATGTCTGCCTTATTGGATCTACTTGAATCAGAACTTAGAAATAAGACAGGTAACCATATTCTGAGCCATCCCCATAGCAACACGCCTTACCAGCAATGACCCTGGTTAGGCTCTCTAGTATTTGTCTGTATTTTTCTCTATGTACAGAATGATGTATTGAATATTATAGGAGAAGGAGAACCTGGGGTGGAGTTAAAAGAGGATTCAGCCTAGAATCCCTAGGTGGCCAGAAACGAGTGGAGGCCAATCTCCCTTGAATTCCATTGTTCTTTATCTATCTCCAAGCAGGCGCTAAATGTTAGTTAAGAAGATTCCTATGCATAGGTATGAGTATAAATCAGTTTAATTGGGCCTTCATGTGTGGACCTGGTCTTTTACACCTGACGTTGTGCTCTTTTCTTTCTAGGAAAGAAATTTGGGTGTGAGCAAATAGATGGAACATACATGTGTTTGTATGTTTGAAAGGGTCTAAGCATGAGGAAGGAAGGAAGGAAGGAAGGAAGGAAGGAAGGAAGGAAGGAAGGAAGGAAGGAAGGAAGGAAGGAATCCAATTATTTTTGGGAGAAGAAGAAAGAGACCTGTAGTATTATAGTATATTCAAGCAAAATTTTTTAATCCTGGTTTATAATTTTGCTGTTATCCCTGCTTAAGATTCCAGACATTCAGTGAACCAACCTTCACCCAAGATTAATTTAGGTATGTTGATTTTCCATATCTTATTCTCTATAGGAGTGCCATATAGTACATGCACATATAAAACATACCTATGTAAATAATAATAATAAAAGTTGGAAGGGACCTTGGAGGTCATCGAGTCCAACCCCCTGCTCAGGCAGGAAACCCTACACCATTTCGGACAAATGGCTGTCCAGTCTCTTCTTAAAAACTTCCAGTGTTGGAGCATTCACCGCTTCTGGAGGCAGGTTGTTCCACTGGTTAATTGTTCTAACTGTCAAGAAGTTTCTCCTTAGTTCTAAGTTGCTTCTCTCCTTGGTTAGTTTCCATCCGTTGCTTCTTGTCCTGCCCTCAGGCGCTTTGGAGAATAGCTTGACTCCCTCTACTCATCTTACAAAGAGCATGACATCCAAAGAATTACAATTTATTGGTTTATTTAATTTAAAGCCGGGGACTGGAAGAAAGAAAAATGCTCACAGAACAAATAGAATAAATTAAAACCGCCTCGAATTAAATAAGATATATGCATAAAATCAACTAGTAAAACAATTTAAAGGCCATAACTAATAAGGCAGTACGTAACACTAGAAATATATCATTTTAATCTACTAAACACTGGCTGGCTATTGCCAGCTGTAGTGAGTTTTAAGTCTGTCAATTTCTGAATTCAACTTTAATGGAGCAGAAGCTTTAAAAAGCTAGTTTGGTCTAGACTAGACATTGCATCAGGAGCAGGGGTACCCGAATTCTAGTCTCCCCTGAGACATCATAGCCATACGAATAATTTTGGGTTACTCACCCCAACACAAAATTACCTGGGACACACACAGACACACAAAAAGATCAAACTGATTCTGAAAATGTTGCTTTGGAAACTTGTTACTAAGAGTAAAAATTGACCTGAAGGATCAAAGTCACAAGAAGATCAAACATCAAGAAAAAATCAAACCAGTTTTGAAATTGTTGCTTGGGAAACTTGTTACTAAGAGTAAAAGTTGACTTGAAGGACCATAGTAAGAAGAATAACCTGGACACTTTTTAAAAAAGGTTCTGATCAAAATAGCTGCCAGTAAGAAGTGTACAATCTTGAACTCAGCCCAGCCAGAACATCCTTTAAATGTTTGCTTGGATCGGGTGAACGAACGCTGGCTAATATAGATACGTTTATGTCCTTGCTTGTTGCGGTGCCCTTAAACTAGACCTTGAAGAAACATGTTTAATCATAGTTAAGACACCACATTTCCACCCAAGCAAGGTATTTTCCCAAGAGCCAAAAACCCTAAAATAATAGAGGAGAACTCCAATTGTTTATCCTTTTTTTCCCCCAGATTAATTTTAAAAGGTATATAGGTAGTCCTCAACTTACCTTAGTGACTGTTCAAAGGTATAACGGCCCTGGAAAAAATGACTTATGACTGTTTTTTATGCTTACAACCATCCCCAGGGTCATGTGACTTGCACTCGGATGCTTTGACAACTGACTCATACTTATGACGGTCACAGCGTCCCCCCGGGGTCACGTGATCCCCTTTTGGGGGGGTGGGAAGCCAGATTTCATTTAACCACCGTGTTACTAATTTAACAACTGCGGAAATTCACTTAACAACGAAGGCAAGAAAAGCGGTAAAATGGGGAAAAACTCACTTAAAAAAATTTCTCACTTAGCAACATAAATGTTGGGCTCAGTTGTGGTTACCTTTAAAATGTAGTACACTGTATAATATATAATATAATATATTACTATATAATATTAATTATATTATATTATGTTAATTATATTATTATATTGACTATATTATATATTAATCATATATTTATATTAATTATATTCTATTATATTAATCATATTATAGTATATTATATTATAGTATAGTATAGTTGTAGTATGTTATATTATATTATAGTATAGTATAGTATAGATAGTATAGTATATTATAGTACAATATAGTATAGTATAGTTATATTATGTTATATTATGGTATAGTATAGTATAGTTATGTTATTATGTTATATTATGTTATATGTTATGTTATATTATAGTATATTATATTGTATTGTATTATATTATAGTATAGTATAGTATAGTATAGTTATGTTATAATGTTATGTTATATTATATTGTATTGTAGTGTATTGTATTGTATTATATTATAGTATATTATAGTATATTATATTATAGTATAGTATAGTATAATATAGTTATATTATGTTATATTATGGTATAGTATAGTATAGTTATGTTATAATGTTATGTTATGTTATATTATATTATATTATAGTATTATAGTATATGATATTGTATTATATTATATTATAGTATAGTATAGTATAGTTATATTATGTTATATTATGTTATGTTTTGTTATGTTGTATTGTAGTGTAGTGTATTGTATTGTATTATATTATAGTATATTATATTATAGTATAGTATAGTATAGTATAGTATAGTTATGTTATAATGTTATATTATGTTGTGTTATATTATGTTATGTTATGTTATAGTATAGTATAGTATATTTATTATAATATAATATAGCATAGCATAGTATAGTATAATATATAGTAATATAATATATAATATAGTATTATATAATATAGTATAATATACTATACTATAATATATTATATTATAATATATAATAGTATATATAATAATATATTATAGTGTATAATAATATAGTATACNCCTTCCTTCCTTCCTTCCTTCCTTCCTTCCTTCCTTCCTTCCATACATGCCTTCCTTCCTTCCTTCCTTCCTTCCTTCCTTCCTTCCTTCCTTCATTTCTTCCTTCATTTCTTCCTCCCTCCCTTTTCTTTTCTTTTCACCATAAATTGCAGTAAGCCG